GGGGGGACAACTTGGTATCACCATATGTCGATAAAACTGTCACAGGAAAATTCGTGTAACGTTCGTCTAAATTCATATTGAAAAACGGTTTGCTCTATACCCAACATGCTTTTGAACGTATTAAAGAGTGGCTGATTCAAGACCACTCATTTACACTTGCTATTCCCACCTTCTGGTAAATTTTCATAAGAATTGGATTTTATTTCACATTCGCAGAAGTTAAATGGCAGTTCCCAACAAATAACTACATTGTTAAGGCGCGTTCTTTTCTTTTCTTCCAATATCTACTTGTGATATAAACAATGCTAGACTCATTTATTTATTAAAATGACTCTTATTTGACATGTTTAAAATGGCAAGTCTAAGGTTTAACTTTTTTCTTCAAAGATCTCCCAGTAGCGCCCTCGTCGGCTCTTACTTTTGGCATATCCTTCTTCATTGTTTTGATATTCTCTCGCAAGCTTGATGAACCTTTTTCTGGAATATATTCCTTAAATCGTCGCCAAGACCGCTGTCTGCTTCTCATATAAGTTCTGATCAATCGTATAAACAGATAGTCTTCAGTGGATTCTGAAAGTGGCATTTGGTTTTCACATTGCTTATACGCCACTTGTAAAAGATTGTGGAACTGCTTCTTCAGTGGTTTGTTGCTTACAAGATTCTTGTCAATATAAATTAGAATGTTTGGTCCATACTTGATGTGTTTTTCAAACAGCTGAAGAATGAGTGACTCCAAATAATACATGAATCGGATGAAATCATCACCTGGAATGACTGTTGTTATCTTTGAACGGGTATCACGCACATATTCAACATGTTCAGCACTAAGAATATTTAAGCAAGACCTAATCTGTGCAAAGTCTTTGTGTGCCATTGTTGATGTGTCGCTTTTTGTTAATTTATAGATAATCCATCCGATAATATACTGGAATCTCAATGCCTCCGCTGATTCTAAATCGATAATTACTTTAGGTATAGTCCATGATTCTAGAATGACTTGATCATTGTGTACTTGTTTAAACGTGACTCTAATAGTTTTTTCCAACAGCATATAAGCTATTAACCGTTGAAGTTCTATATTGACATTGCCTGGAATCAGTGCTTGAAAATCATTGAACCAATCGTTTGCGCATTTATAATTATTTAATTGGCTCTCTAGGTTCCTTAACCACATTGTCATCCAGCGAGCTCCCTTTGTTGTCGGAACAGAGTCTAATGCCATTTGATGGATGTTATTTGACCAGGTCACTAAAAGATTATCTATGCTTTGTAGATACAGTAAGTGTTCAAT